TTTTTTCGTCATTTGAATGATATTGATAAAATTCTCAATGCCGAGAAAACTGTGATTTTTTTTGATTTTTAGCTTAATTTTGAACAAATAAGTTGAGCGAGCAGGCTTACTGAAAGTCGGTTAACGCTTTTAATCGAAGCTAAAGGTATTAAGCTGATTTTAGAAGAATCAAAAGTCGACTCATGAAAAAGTAGTTAATACTCAAATAGGTGGCGACGATTTTTTTTCGTTATTTTTTCAGGAACTATATTCAAATTTGTTCATGCTCAAATTTACTTTTTCGCGGACTTTTGATTTCTTTTCAAATTCAGTTTTTTGCCATTATTTTAAGGAAGTCAAACTCAAACTCCACTATCGAACAGAGAAAGCGTGCGGGTCGCGATAAACGTGATTGTTTTTTAGTTTTGAAATTAGAACTTCATTCTGATTTCCCGGCGAAATTTTGATCGGATTGCCTATTGATCCATTTTTCTCGAATAGGGTTAAATTTTTGTTTAAAAAGAAACAATCATAAATTGTTCTAGAAACCCTAAGAGCCTTAAGACCATTTATTTTTTTCTTCGAAATTACAAGGCTAAAAAATCAAGCCAGACTTTACTGTTGACATGCGTTCATGTATCTTTTCCAACTGTCTGCTAGCGTTTATTTTTTTAATCCAAAAGCATTCGCCACAAATATATTTTTAATGGGCTTAGTGTGATATCATATTAAAGCCTTTTTGGCCCTGATTCGAACAACATTAAAAAAAATAAGAATTTGTCTCATCAAGAAAACCGGCTTAAAATTTGTGCCTAATTTTGAGTAATTTCAAGCAAGTTTTAGTCTATTTTTTGAGTAATTTCATGCAAGTTTTAGTCTAGTTTTGAGTAACGTAAAGTGAGCAGGCTAATTGTAGAAGGAGTAACATTGAATGTTTTCTCAGTAAAACTCACTGTTGAAGTTTTTGATGCGCCCTTTTCGGAATAAAAACTGAAACAAAATTGAAAAAAAAACTATTGTTCTTTTTGGTTTTCTGTTTTTTCTATTCATGTTTTTGACAAAAACCGTTTTGCGTTTGGTCTATTTCAATATGCTTGTCTATTTCTTAGTTATTTGTTTTATCTTTTTATCACACCACGAACAAAACAGCACTAGTTTAAAAAACGCAAAATTATTTACTTAATTGTGTTTGTTTTTTTTTCTTTCTTTCCACGCAAAAGTTTGTGTTTTTCCCAGGGTCGAATAAATTCGGTTTGAAATATTTGAATTTTTGTCTTAACTCGAACGATTACAGCGAGCCAGGTGTAAAATAGCTTATTTCAATGGCTTAAAAGCTGAACATAGCTAAATTCAAGAAATAAAAGTTTATTTTTACCCAAAACAGGGTAGTTTTTTGATATTTTATTGCCTTTTTGAAAATCTTGCAACCGCGAAAATGTTTGAAACAGTTTTTGAATTTTTTCTAGTCATTTTTCTAGAAAGTCGTTTTCCAATTTGGTTTTCTATATTTAAGCTCTATATTTAAGACAATATTTAAGCTCTTGTTTTTCCATCAGATCTGAGTTATAATTGACCTGCGATGTATCTTTTTTTTTCATCGCTCGAATGAAACTGAAGGCAGAATAACCGTAATCGATTTTTGCCTCAACACATTTCACACTTTTTTTTTTAAACCAAATTTTATCGATAATTTTTTGATACGATATCAAAAACTGGTCGATAAAATTAAAATCTTCGATAAAATTGTCGACGATTTTTTGGTACGGTAATTCTGATGGTAATTTAACTCACTTCGATGACATTTAAAAAATTTTGATTACATTGCTGTCGTTAATACTTTAAGATTATGGTTTGGTTTGTCACAATATTTTTTTCTTTCAACAGACAATATTTTTTTCTTTGTATCGGAGACTCGAGACAAGTATTTAAATTAGTTTGTGGAATAACAGCTACTAACTCTAAGGGAATATCAGTTATTTGTATGCATAGTGACCATTTATATGAATCCTCTTTCAATGTATATTTCACATCAGTCGGATCGAAGCTTGCTGATCAGATTCCGATGTCTAACCCTCTTTTAAAGATAGAAAATCCACCTCAATGAATGTATTTTTTCAATTGTTCATTTGACGAAGCCTTGAATCTTCTAAAATGGTCTTAAATCTAAGCATTTATCAGGTGTGGATGAAATAAGTAATAATTTCTCAAAAGCATTAGCCTTTATTGTTGCCCCATATCTGATTTTTTAAAATTAATTTTCGTTTTCCTACTGGCAAGCTTCCTAAACATTTGAATTATGCCAAAGTACTTGCGCTGTATAATTCGGCGAGTAAATCTAATCGGAATAATTACCCGATTTCCTTTTACTTAGCTGCAGTAAAGTATTCGAAAGAATTATGTTCTCACAAATATACAATTAAAGTGAAAAATGTAACCTGCTTAATTGCAAAGTTTGGTTACCGGCAAAACTATGCAACATTTGAGGCGCTTGCCGAGTTTACAGAGCTTAAAGGTCCGTTCTGATAAAGGACTGGAGTGTATCTAAGGAAAGTGTTCGATACACTCGATCATAAAGTTTTGCTTGATAAATTAGAATTATACACAAATGGTGTCAAAAATGATGAACTATGTCACAAATCGATCATAAGCTATCTTAAAGAGAGATATCAATGTGTTAAGGATGCCAAGTCTTTATCTGAGGGATTACGCCTACGTTTGAGTGTTCCGCGAGGCTCATTGTTAGGTCCGCTTCTTTTCTTAATTTTCCTAATGTTTCTGAAACATCAGAGAAACTCTTGTTTGCTGATGATGCGAAGATAATACATTGCAGCTCAAGTTAAAGTGGTGAGTTCCGCTTGGATCTTTTCAAAATTCCTTTATGGCCAGATTAGAATAAACTAACATTAAATACCGATAAAACGACACTAGTAAGTTTTAACCAAATTTTGATGCATACAGTCATTGCGTTGCTGTAGAGAATAATTTGTTTTATCCACAAGTTTCATGCAAATATTTAGGAGTAATTGTTGGTAATAAACTAAGTTTCACTTATATTGAAAAAAATAAATCTAAATTAGGAGGGCATTGTGGCGTTCTTTCCAAATAGAGACAATTAGTAACCAGAAGGCTCATGATAAAGTATTACAACTCCAACGTTAAGCCAATAATCCGGTATGGTTGACTGATTCAAGCTTGTACATCTTTTTCAAATTGAAATTCAATTTTTTTTGTTACAAAAAAAGCTGATAATGATCTTCGTCAGGAAAAAATTTGAAAGCATCCCAGTTGAGTTTCAACAAAACAATATTCTTGCTCTGCATAAATTGCCTGTGTACGGTTTTCTGAAATTCTGTAATCGATCAGTTGGTTATTTGCATTCAAATGAATTTCTCAAGGAACTTTGCTGAAAATAGCAACAACTATACTTCAAGTAGATCAGTTTTTCCTTCTTTCAAAACAAAAACTTTTTGTAGAGAAATTCAGATCTTTCCCCCTGCAAAACCGGGGATCTAAATTTTTGAACATCCTGAGCATTGACGATTTATTGCCCGAAAATCTCGGTCAGATGAGTCATCGTGATTTGTTGGTGTTCGTCCACAAATTAAAAAGCACGTTTCATTTTGGGAAATTCCGTGCTTGTTTTTTTTTCTTATTTAATAGCTGTTAACTTGAGCCCAATTTTGCGTGCTTCGGATGATTTCAAACATGATTAAAGTGCCGTTTTAAAATATCAACGGTTTGAAACCCTAAAGTTTTTTTGGATATTTTTATGATCAAAGAAAATCTTAGCGTAAAAAGATTTTTTGTCTGTTAATATCCTCTCGAATAAACAAAACGTTTTAAGGCTCATTTTAAATGCTACCACAAGTGTTTAATAACTCGGATTCTGACTGCTCATTTCGTGTTTGTTTTCGCGAAATCACAATTTATTTTTGAAATTTCTAGATTTCCTCAAATAACTTGGTAAGTTTAAATTAAAATATTCATTAGAATTTTCATGAGTACAACGGGAGTTGGTCAATAAGTTTGTGCGTCTGGTGTAAAGATATGGTGATTCAAATTCTGTTGTAGTTGCGATTAATTGTGTTTTATGACAAAATTGAATCAGCTGAAGAGATAATTTTTGATTAAAAGGAAAATGTTTTTCTCTCCTAATTTTTTGTGGTGCTACGGCAAGTGTTTAGTATGGCTGTGCATCTAGTCGAAAGTTTTAATGGTTTTACTTATTGTCTTCTGAAATATATCACTTTTTCTGACAATCAAAATAAAATTAGGTCTTTCCCATTATAGCCCCCAGTAATTTTAGCCCCTAACTTTTCCCATTATAGCACCCCCAACGTTCCAATTATATACCCACTATCCGTACTGATTTATTCTACTATATATACTGAAATTTATTTTAATGGAAATGTTTCAATTATGATATTAAGTTGATTTATATCGATGACTTCTTTTCCATGAACTGAATATTGATTGAGTATCAATTCAAGCTGTCTCACCTAGACCTCACCTAGTTGATTTTATATCATCTGTCAGTTGATTTCTTATGGCTCCGATACAATGTAACCATACTTAAATGTAAACATTGAACTTAATTTTTTGATCTGCCAATTAGTATAATTAGAAACTTTTTGGGGGGGGGGCTATAATAGGAAAGGTTGGGCGGGTTCTGTAATGGGAAAGGTTTTTTTGGGGGGCTATAATTTTTTGATACTAGGCTGGGAGGGCTATAATGGGAAAGACCCATGAAGTTAAGTAAATTATTTAATGAAATTATATAATCAGTTTTTTGTTAAAAGTTACCAGAATAGGTAGATTCTCAGTGGGAGTTTAATACTACCGTTGTCTATCCTCAACTGAATCTAAACGTCATTGATAAATATTATTTGTGCAAACTATTTGTTTGATTTGTTGTTACCATGTTTACTTGTTTGGAGAAATAAAGACTTTTCTTTAACAAAGTGGGGCTCAATGTATGCATGTTCTTATCGTCATTATCAAGTTAAATCGTTTTTTAAGATATGTCAATAAATAGTCCTCGCTTTGAAATGAATCCAGGATCCTTAGCAGGGCTAAGTGTTGCGCTGGCTGGTGGAAGAATGATTCGCATCGAGATGCAAGACTTCAAAAGTTTCAAAGGGCACCATGAAATACCTTTCACAGATTTCACTGCAATAATTGGGCCAAATGGCTCAGGAAAAAGCAATTTGATGGATGCCATCAGTTTTGTATTGGGTGAGTTGAAAAACTTCCAGAATTTATGTTGTTTTGCGTTCACATCTCTGAAAAGCGTTCTCTCGTTTAAAGGAGAGAAGAGTAACATGTTGCGTGTGAAGAAGATATCGGACCTGATACATGGTTCGCCTGTTGGCAAGCCAGTCCCCTCGAACCGTTGCCATGTCACCTTGACTTTCGAAGAGAGGAATGGAAATATACTGGAGTTTTCCCGAATTGTCATGGGATCATCGTCTGATTATCGCATAAATAAAAGGGTATGATTCTATGAGCGATCAGGAGATTTTACTCACGCTAAACATTTCGAATTTTGAGTGTGTTTCAGAGCTGCAGTCAGCAAGACTACCAAAAGGAGTTAGAGCGAATCGGCATCTTTATTAAAGCAAGAAACTTTTTGGTCTTTCAAGGACAGGTCGAAAACATTGCAATGAAGAACCCCAAAGAAAGAACTGCACTGTTTGAGGAAATCTCCAAATCAGGTTCAAGATCTTAACAGCTGGAAAGTTCGTGGAAATATCATTTAACAGCAAGCTTAATGTAGAGTTTTTCAGGAGAGTTGGTGAGTGAGTATGATTCGAAGAAACAGGAAGCTCATCGAGCTGAAGAGGAGACAAATGCTGTTTTCCAGAAAAAGAAAGAAGTCAAAAAGGTCTGATTAAAGTCACATTCTTGGATACATGAGGCTTCATTGAGACTATAATATTTTTTATACTGTTACACAAGGGCCCTTGATAATTTACCTACAAAAATTACCGAAATCCTCACAAATCAAAAAAAGTCGTGCCCAAAGTAAGATAGATAATGAAATTTTTCCAAGAATGGAAGTACTTCTTGTCGCTTCTGAAGTAATTGCTAGATAAACCATTTGTCAATTATTTTTTTTCAATAGTTCTGGTTTATGCGAAATTGGTTCTTGTAGGTCAGGAAGGAAGCTCGACAGGAGAAGGAGGAGGCGGATAAATATGCCAGACTTCAAGTAGAACTAGCAGATGCTCAAATAGAGATGACTCTGTTCAAACTGTACCACGCGCAGAAGGAGATAGAAGAGTTGGCTAAAGAAATGGAGGCTAAAAATAAAGTAGGACTTTTTGTATTTGAATTGGTTCTTACCTTTTGCAAGATACTGTTAAGTGTCGATGAATGTAGTTCAGTTTCTTATATAGGTCGTCGTGATTTTTTTGTTTTTTTAGAGGAAAAGTCTTGAAATTTGTTCAGGCTCAAATTTACTTTTTCGCGGTTTGAATTATGATTGTTTTTGAAGCTGACTTCCTCTACTCTGTTTAAAGGAAGGAAAACTCCACTATCGAATAGCAAAAGCGTCAAGGTCGACTTCTAGTTTCGAAAATGGATTTTAAGTTTCAGATTTCCGAGCGAAATAAACAAATGTACGTTTTGATCCAGTTTTCTCAAATTGATTTAGTGTATCAGAAATATTTCAATTATTAATTGTTCTAGAAATTCAAAGAGCTTTAAGGCCATCTAATTTTCTCTCTTCGAAGTTCGAAAGATGAGATAATTCAAAAAAAATCAAGCCAGTTTTTTTTCTGTTTACTTGCGTTCATTGACTCGTTTATATTGCCTGTTAGCTATGTTTTGAGCTGCTAGTTATTTTGCTGATCAAGCCAGTTTTTTTTCTGTTTACTTGCGTTCATTGACTCGTTTCCATTGCCTGTTAGCTATGTTGTGAGCTGCTAGTTATTTTGCTGTTAAGTGTTTGTGAACTTTTTCAGGGCTAGTTTTTGCTATATATTTCCTAGTTTCATTCGTTTCAATTTCTGATAGTACGCAGCAGATTTTTTACATTCGCAGAGCAAAGTGTATTTAATACTAACTATCTTTTTTTTCTACCTTAGTCGCAAATATAAATGCTACTTTTAGTGGCACTTTTGATTCTGTAGGCTGCGGTAGCAGGATAATATCATATGTGCTTTGACATATGATTAGTAAATTTTGACACAGCTGATGGATTTTTAATTCATCAGATGAACCAAAAAAAAAGTTTTTTGTTTCAAACAGCAGTACAATGACAAAAAGCTCGATTTGAGAAATTTTCCAACTCAATGCATCTCGCAAACTTTTTGAAATGCATAATTTTTACATAACTTCGCTTTATGCTTTCCATTTTATTACATGCAAAATTGTGTCTTTTTGTATTTGGTGCGGCTTTTGCTGCATTGAATTGAGAATTTATTAGCATATGTAGCTGCGTTATTGATGGCTAGTTTTTGGGGATTTTCAGCATCCGTGGCTGAGTGTTAAGTGTGTGAGACTCAAGTTTGCTAGGTCGCGGATTCGAATCGGACACGTTTTTGCTATTTCTAGACTTTACCTTACTGTTTCGTATTTCACTTGATAGAGCTGCTTTTTGGTCATGTTCTCGCAAGTGTTAAGCGTAGCTTCACCTTTGTGTGAATTTAAGAAAATTAGGGAGACCAGGCTAATCAAGCCTTTATTTTACTTCAAAAATTGGTGCATGCAAATCTTCAAGCAAACTGTCGATAATTATTAATTTTGTACGTTGGTGGTATCCAGATGTTTTATCAACCTTTTATTAGGAGCTAGAGAAAGTGATGAGCAAACGAGACAAAACAGATGAAGATGTGAAGGCGGGTAAGAAAGAAGTGGGCAAATTGTACCGAGAGGTGCAACAGCTGGAGAAAGACATGCGAGAAAAGGAGGAGGAGCTGAATAGGAAGAAGCCACTGTTCATCAAGGCCAAAGAGAAGACAGCCCATCTGATGAAGAAGTTGGAGAACACGAAGAAGAGTCTGAAGAACGCCCAGGACCAACATGTTAAACATCAGAAGGTAAATCGGGCAAATTTTGAATGTCATTAGCGCCATATAGTAGCAGATTGAGTTTAACCAACAGAATTGAGCTAATTGAAAGGTCCGAACAGTGATAAGAATAGCTACAAGTAGATTCAAGTTGGAGAAGACCCCGTTAAAGGTAAATGAAAAGGAAGCCAACATATGGAGTGGTGTCTCATAAGTTGGTATCTGACATTGTATTGAGTTCTGGCCTGAGAGTATTCAATAACTTTAAATCCTCGTTTGATCTTATTAACATTTTAGTAAAGTCTGCAGATAGAATCATTTTTGTATTTCAAAACTCTATACAGAGCTGGTGTTAAAAAGCAAGAGTAGAACAAGGCATGCCGGTTGCTAATTTTGGCAATCAAAGAGAAAAATTGAAAGGCTGAATTGTTTGTTAAACTATAAGAATTGGCAATGTAGCAAAAACAATTCATAAATTGAGGATTAATTAGATTGAAAATAAAGTACGAAATTTCTTGTAAGAAAAATAGTTTAAGTCAACCAACCCGGAGACCTACCCGAAGGTTAATTATTTAGATTGACAAGCGCGCATGCGCATATAACCAGCACCCATTAAGCTATGACTTACTTGCAAGAGCTCACCTTGCAATTTGCAGCGCACGTGCGATTTGAATGGGCAATCACACGATTGCTGGGCACCATCTCTACCGGAGCGCGACAATGCCAAAGCTGGTCACGATTAAAAGGGATTTAATGATACCATGCTTGATATAATTTTCTTTCAGTAAAGATTGTCAAAAAAAACATTACGCCATGTTTCCCACTTTGTGAAGTGTTGGGATTAATTAAGAAAGCATAGCAAAGTTCTTATGAAAGAAAACTGGACCTCTTTGTCATACGTTAAATATACAATTGACTGGCTCTGCTTCATTTCGATTAATTTATTTTGATTGTAATAGGAAATAGAGCAACTGGAAGAAGAATTGAGCAGAGTGGAAGAAGAGCGTCAGGAGTTTGAGGAGAGAGCGATCGCTGAGAGTCAGAGTCAGGGCAGGAACTTCGAGTTAGAGGAGACACAAGTGAAAGAGTACAACAAACTGAAGGACCACGTGGCCAAACAGGCTGCTAGATACAGCAGTGAGTTGGATCAGCTCAATAGAGAGCAGAGGGCAGATCAAGACAGGTGAGTGATATTGCATGTAATTCGGCTTTCTGGTTAACGCTCTTAAATACACAGACGCGTTAATATATTACAATCGGAGAAAAAATCTGATTTCAAGTTGAGTATAATGAGCACCGTTCTATGGAAGTATCCTAGTGAGTGCCGTGTCATTATAAGTCGGTCGCATTTTGTTGTAAATCCTTTATCTGCTGGCTTTGCAACTATTCTTTGTCAGGTTCTTGATGTTTTATTACCCTTGCGATCAGCAAGGGTGTTGCAACCTGGTACTAAATTTTATTCCGCAAAGAATCTCGTTCGCAAGATTTCGGACGTGAAATTATTACACGTGTTTACACAATTAAGCTTAGTCTAAAGCACGACTATTTTTTTTCAACCTAAGTTGCAAATATTCATTTGCAACTTACGGTTTTTTGAGAGAATGTGCTCTGACATTGGATTAGTAATAAGTTACCCAGTTGATGCATTTTAAATTGATCAATTGAACCGAAAAAAGCTATTTGTTTCAAACCACTGCACAAATCTTGTCTTGTCAAGAAGTTTTCCAACTCAATTTATCTCGCAATTTATTACATGCTATATTAGTGTGGAGGCCTTCAGCTTGTTATAGTTCAGTTTTTTCCATGCAAAATTGTGTATAATCGTATTTTGTACCTTTTTGGTGCATCGCATTGGCAATTTATTAACATGTAGCTGCTTTATTTGACTAGTGTTTGCCGATATTTAAGTGTTTGTGGCCGATAGGGCAGGGCGTGAGATTCAAATTCTTGAGGTTGCAAGTTTGAATCCAATACGTAGCAAAGTTTATCTAATTCGAGGCTAATTTCTACTTTTTTTTATTTCTTTTTTAAAGCTGCTTTTTTGTGTTCTCGCCAGTGTATGATTGTTTCATAATTAATTTTAAATCAAGCAATCCTACAACACATCTGGCGCAAAGGTAGTACATATGCTTTAGACGGCCAAAGATGGTTGTTTGAATCCGGCCGTGACCCGTTTTTTTTGCTAACATAATTTTTCTGCTATTCGGGACTATCGCCCTTCAGTTTGTTTGTCGGCTTGTTCACGTATCGCAGAGTTTTTTGAAGGTTCAGCTTTCTTCTTATTTTCTGAATGCTATTTCTAAATCCCCGTGGCGGAAGTAATTGGCCGAGTTGCAAGATTTGCAGAGTTTTAATATTAATACTTTCGAAGAATTATTTAAAAAAATTCTAAACAAAAAATATATTTTTTTTGAATTTGTGCTCCGTCTATTACTGCACGAAATTTTAACGCATTCGATTATTATGCTCGCAATTAGCAAGCGTTATCATTTCGGAACACAGTTTTTTTTTGTGAACAACCAGTCCAACAGAATCAAGGAATCATTTTCTCAAATCTGCAGAATTTGATTTTCAGTAGAATTTGATTTTCAGATTTTTTCAGGTTGTTTTTTTTTCTCAGGAAAAATCGTAAAGTTTGTTCACGGTTTGATTTCTAATTTCTTTTAAAGACAAACTCCATTATCGAACAGCAAAAATGGAAAAGTCACGAAAAATGTGGTTTCTGGTTTCGAAATTGGAATAGAGTTTTCAGATTGCCCTGCCGAATAAAGTTTTACCTATTGACCCGGTTTTCTCAAATGGATTTTATTTTGTCAAATAAAAGTCAATCATAAATTGTTCTTGAAGTTCAAAGTAAAGCCATATATTTTTTTTATTTGAAGTTCAAACATTGAAGTTTCAAAAAACAGTTCACTGTTTTTCTTTCATTGCGTTCATGTCTCTTTTCCAACTGTCTGTTGGCTATGTTTTGGGTTCCCAAAAATCGAAATACGTTGTCTCAGTTGTTTGCCCAACTTGATTACACTGAAATTGATGACGCCCTACTTAGTTTCATTTCAAACTTTAAATTCAAAAAGTTTTTTTTTAGTTAAAATGACATCTCATTGAAGCTTTCTTTGTATCTAATTCAATCGCGCTTTGCTTAAAAGTAAACAAGAAAAATAAGAAAATATTTTCAAAAAAAATGATTATTTTCGAATTTTCTGAGACATTTTTTCACTAATCAACCGGCTAGAAAATGCATTGAATTTTTTTAGCTGTTATTTGATTATTCAATCTCAACCAACTGTTAAACGAGCAACCTGGGAGGTTCTAGTCTTCTAAGTACGCTGTGGTAATTTGTTTCAGACTGGATGCAGAGAAAAGGCGTTTTGAGGAGGCTAAGAGTAGGCTGAGCCAAAAGCAGACAGAGTTAGGGGAGAACGAGAGACGGGTGGAGAGACTACAACAGTACATCTCCAATGCCGAGAAAGAGGTGGCAGAACAGAGGGAGCAATTGAAACAGTTAGACCAAGAGGTAAATCGTTTTCGTGTTTTAAGTCATTTACCGCTAAAAGAACAACTGATTATGCTGACCGGGGGTTTACCAAAGGGTATTTATTCATAATCATCTTGACACTTTAATTAGAGAGCACCGTTTGTGTTCACACAAGAGAATTTCTTTTTCATTGCGGCAGTGATTGTCTGCTAAAAAAACTTAACCAACTTTTTAACCATTAACAAATTATAATGCTTCAAACCTCATTGGTTCAATCAATTTTGCTTTTTAACGGATAAAACAAATTATAAATACAGTGCTGATTTAAATCATTCGGACAAAACGCGTTAAACTTGAAATTTAAAACGCATTTTTCTCAAATTGGGTTGAGTTTAGGTGAAAACTTATGAAGACAAAACTTGCTTAGAATTTTAGCAGAATTAATATGGTGTAATTTGTTTTGCAAAATTCGGGTCCGAAAATTTACCCCAAAAATGGGTCATTTTGGCTTTTCTTAGTTAATAGAAAATTACGCCGAAAATACCCTGTCGATCACAGACATAATTATATCAAAGAGAGCGCCTTACGTATCCCAACAAACTTTAAGAAGTGTTTATTCACAAAAACTTTGTATAAGTTAATTTATTTTTGTTTGATTGACAAAAAAGGTCGTTTTTACTCTATAAACCACCAACTTTTTATTTTAAAACAATTTTTAAACAATATGCAATTTTTTTGAAGAAAATATCTTTCTTAAAGTTTGTTGAGCTACGTAAGGGGCTCACTTTGATATAATTATGTCTGTGATCGACTGGGTATTTTCGGCGTAATTTTCTAATAACTAAGAAAAGCCAAAATGACCCATTTTTGGGGTAAAATTTTGGACCCGAATTTCGCACAACAAATTACACCATATTAATTCTGCTAAAATTCTAAGCAAGTTTTGTCTTCATAAGTTTTCACCTAAACTCAACCCAATTTGAGAAAATTGCGTTTTAAGTTTCAAGTTTAACGCGTTTTGTCCGGTTTATTTAAATCAGCACTGTACTCTCTATCTAATTGTAAATGATGCAAGTTTTTAAGAGTCGATGAAAATAGTTCAGAATTTTATATAGGTATTGATGATTTTTTTGTTTCGTTTTTTTTTCCAGGAAAAGTTTTACTAAGCTGAGATTTTTTCGAAAAATATGTCATTTTTTTCTGTTCACTTGCGTTCTTTGACTCTTTTTCAACTGTCTGTTGGCTATGTTAGAGGTACTTTACACGCAATTTTTTTGGACGTTAGCAAACTATATTTAATTGCCGAAATTGTCACTTGCATGTTGCCGCCAAGTGACTGAAGTTTTGGATTGGCGTGTAAAACCATTTCAATTCCTTGCGCTTAACTAATATTCATAATGCATTCCTGAAAGCTTTGTATGAGCTAAGATTAGTTGGTCAAATAATGAGTTAAAAGTGCAGTTGGGGAATTCAGGGCTTTAACCTGGCGTACGAGAAGTCCTGTTTTTTTCTCAAATTGAGTTAATTTTACGAAAAAAGGATAATCATTAAAGGCACGTGAAATTCAAAAAACTTAAAAAAAACTTTAATATAATATTTTCCTTTTGCTCATTGACACTAATTACTCGAGCGTAGCCTAAAGTGATAGTAAGATGCAGCTTTTTTCCAATCTTGAAAATGAACCGAAATGGACCATTTTGAGAGTACAATTGGCGGTCCGAATTTCGCAAAATCAATTGTTAACGTTATATGCTGGTGAAATTCTCAGCAAATTTTGCCTTCATTTTTGTCGAATGTTAATCCAATTTGAGAAAAGTGCGTGTAAAGTTTCCCATTTAGCGCGGATAATTTAAATCTGCTCTATTTTCGAATATAATAAGAATAATTTTCGTCTCATAGAAAAAAATGCAAGTATTCTTTCCTAGTTTTCAGATGTCACGCTTTTCGATTTCATCAAAGGCACGTTTTTTGAAGTGCAACAAACGCAGACGAAATCCGAAAGACATTTTTAAAAGCAAAACGATCCAATTTGCAACACATCCTGTCGTCTAAAATAACGCCCCTTGATGACACCGATTTTATCCTCATAAGAATGCATTTTTAAATTTCACCAGCAATTGTTGAATTAAGCAGGGTTAGCATGTTATTTAACATTGAATTTAACTTACAGTGTTATTTATAATTTCTAACAGTGATGTTAGCTATTTCTTATTCTTATCGACGAAATTTAAGATCTAAGAATTTTCAAACCAATTGCAGTTTCACTTGACAAACTACAGAGCGAAAAATTTCACCTGGGAGATGTTTTTGAAATTTAAATGGACCTCCGCCTCCAGTGCCCTGATGAGTACATGCCAAAACTTGCTGGTAGATCAGACCTGCTACCCGTTTTCTACGCTGCTAACCTCTTAGATCATCAGTATCACAGGCGCAGAATGGACCCAGAGGAAGTTCGCAAAGGGACAGAGTACATAAACCAGTGCGACGCAAGTTTGGCACCAGAAGTTGCGAAGTACCTGGCAAAATTCTTGCCTTATTCAGCCCATCTGTTTGACGAAAACTTCCAAGAGTTGTCGCCGGAAGCTTGGTGGGCATCTGGTGCTAGTTTGGGCTTCGATAAAAAGTCTGTGGACTTGGCAGCAAGTCTGGTCAGCGCATGCCCTGCAGCTTCAGGGCTTGAGAGGTGCTTTTCCACCCTGGGACTGACGTATGGGAAGCTTCGTGCTCAACTCGGCGTTGAGAAAGCCGGAAAGTTGGCGTTTCTGTTCAAGAAACTCAACTCTTGTTGATATGTTAATTTAATTAACAATTTAACAAAAATAACATGTTTTTTTTCGATAAATAACAGTTAGTTTGTTATTTTTGTTTTTAACTTACATTTTGCCAACCCTGGAATTAAGTCATTTAAAATGTTGTGTTCAGGTGAATGCGACGAATGAGCGAGTGGGTGAAATCAATCGGGAATTGGAAAAAGTGATGGGTGAGTTGGGGGAGGCTAAGATAGAGAAGCATGAGTCATCGAGAAGTAGAAGGAAAAATGAAGTGATTCAGACTCTCAAGAGACTGTTCCCAGGAGTGTTCAACCGACTTATCGATCTGTGCCAACCTACAAATGACAAATACAAAATCGCAATCACCAAGGTCAGTTCAATGAATCTTACTCATTCGCATAGATAATTAATACCAACTCACCGAATGATCTGATAAAAGCTTACTGCTGTTGCTACATAATTTAGCAGTTCGTCATTTTGTTGCAATTTGAATATGGGGTTGTTTCTTACTTTTTTGGTCAAAATTAAAGCTCAGGATGTTGAATTTCCTCAATTGGTCACAGTGATGGGCTAAATCAAAGAATTTGTCAGGGGTTAGAAAATCACTTCCGTTGTTCTTAATCCTGGTTTACTCATCAGTGCCAAAGAGACCAATTTGAGCTTGTCACAGGGTACAAACCATGAATCGTGAAATTTGAAAATGATTTTCAGGTTATGGGCAGAAATATGGATTCGATTGTTGTCGACAATGAAGCAACCGGCAGAGAGTGCATCAAGTACCTGAAGGAACAACAGTTCGAACCAGAGACATTCATTCCTCTGGACTCCATCCGGACTAAGCCTCTGGACGAGAAACTACGCGAGATCCGAGAACCTTTTGGAGTCAAACTCGTGTTTGATGTTGTAAGATTTGATCCGCCGCCGGTCAAAAAGGCTCTTCTTTTTGCCTGTGGAAACGCACTGGTGTGTGAAAGCGTAGAAGATGCTAGACGAGTTGCATTTAGCGGTCGCCAGCGCTTAAAGACAGTGGCATTGAACGGAACCATGTTCGAAAAGTCGGGAATCATTTCGGGAGGTCTTGGCGATCTGAAAGCCAAAGCAAAGCGCTGGGATGAAAAAGCGCTGACGGGTCTCAAAAACAGAAAAGACGAATTGTTGGAAGAATTAAAGGAAATGCAGAAATCAAAAGATGTGAAGCGAAAAGAATCCGATTTAGTTGGAATCAAATCGAGTATCGATGGACTCGAAAACCGAATTAAGTACTCAAAGAATGATTATGAAAGTACGAAGCAGAAGCATATAAAAGCTAACGAGAAAGATATAACTACTCTCAAAAATGATTTGGAACTTTTTGAACCGAGGATGCTTGAAATTCAGGACAGAATGGACGCCAGAGCGACTCACATAGTGACAATAAAAGAAAAGAAGAACAAAGTAGAAGATGAGATTTTTGCGGATTTTTGTGCCGCCATTGGAGTAGACAATATCAGACAATACGAAGAGAAAGAACTGAAGACACAGCAAGATCGAGCGAAAAAGAGGCTCGAGTTTGAGAATCAAAAGTCAAGATTGCAGAATCAACTCGCGTATGAAAGGTAAGCTAGTTGTTGTTGTTGCCTCGTCGAGGGGCTGCGAATAAAGTTTTGTCATTTTGGTCAGATTTCCTTATAAATTGTCTTCAATTTCGTCTAGAATTGTTAACTCGTTAGTTCAGTACTTCAGAAAAGGTGGAAGTACTTCAGTGGAAGCTTGTTGGTATCGTTTGGGGTGTTGAAGCACTTTGGAAATTCGTTGCTGGCACTTAGGTCGAGTCTGTTGTAATATAGGAGGAGGTAGCCGGAGCGTAGTTGAGCTATGCTGGAACGGGCCTTGCGACTCAGTGATAGTTCAGTAGGGGGTTTTCGGTGAGCATTTTGGGCATTGAGACAGTGTCAATGTAGTTGGAAACCGCTGGTGTGTGGAGTACGGACATAGTAGTTGAAAAGTGGAAGGTATAACTGAGCCTTTAGGGACTACACTAGGTGTGCTGGTGTAAGCAATCGAAGGCTTTCGATAGATCTAGGGGGTATAAGAAACCACGCGAAATTGAATTGTCTAGGGAGGTTAAATCGCTGTTAGTAGAGAACAGGGGATAGAAGCCGTGTGGGCGTGGCTTGGGTTTTAGGTGTATATTAAGGAGAGGGATGAGGAGTGCTTCAACAATTTTGATGACGGGGCTGAGTTAGGAAACAGGGCAATAACATCTGGACAGAGTGGGAGTCTTTTAGGGTTCTGACGTGGGGAAAAAGGGTAAGCTAAGTCGGCAGCGGCTTTGAATTTCTTGATTGAGAGTTTAGCAAAACTACATAGCCGAGATAAGTTGCATGTAGGGTCAATCATGAGGTTATCGACAGTTTGTCGTAAGGGTTGATTAGGTTGTATGATACTATGTTCTGATTTAACAATAAGAGCGGTACTTACTTCATGCAAATTGTTATACACTAATTGACTTAGTTTTGAGAGATTAGTCTGATAGTGATCGGAAGAGTCGTCAGACATCGCTAGTTAAATAATATGTAAGGAAAATTGTAAAGTTGTTAACTTCTGTTTGTTTTGGGTTGATCGGATTGATTGGCTGTGTATATATTTTGTAATTGAACAGCTATTGAGAGTCGATGAACGTAGTGAAGACTCTTATATTGGTCTTGGTGATTTTTTTTTCAGGAAAAAGTTCAAATGCTGTTAAACATATTTTGTTGGATTTATGAATGCACGGATGTTTATGTGCACTTTTTCAATCTCAATTCAAATTCATTGACTAAAAGGTAGGCAAAATGCGCTATTTAAAATCGGAAGTGCATATTGAGCAAAAAAAGATGAAAGACTTAGAGTTACGAAAGTCGAATTTAGTTTTCAGATTTTCTAGCGGAACATAAATGTCAGATTTCCGATTGGAATAAAAACTCAATTTATTGATCGATTTTGCTCACATTGGGTTATTTTTATCACAAAGTTTTAATCATAAAATTGTTCTTGAAATTCAAAGAGCTGTAAGGGCATATGTTTTTCTGTAAAATTCGAAAAATGAGATTTTTCTGTTTCTTTGTTTTCATTGGTTCTTTTCCAACTGTCTGTTGGCTGTGTTTATTCTTCATAATGTGTTATAGGTCTAAAGACAGCGAGGCGAGTGTGAAGCGAATGGAATCTAGCGTGAAGGAGGACCAGGCCATGTTGAAGCGGCTGAAAGAGGAAGAGGCCAAGCACAGCGTGGCCATAGACAGGGACCAAGATGCACTCAACACTGCTCACCACCAGATAGACGAGGCCAGAAATGCACACGAGAAGAAAAACAAAGAGGTAGGGTTCATGGTTTCGTTTTAATTAAATGCAGATTTCGTTAAAGTTATTTGATCAAGAAAGTCTTCGGCTTGAATATCTGGGGTTCGATCTCCAAACATTTCTGAGGAGAAGAACTACTGTGAACTACTACTACATGTGGAGAAGTACTGCTGAGTAAGAAAGTTACTCGTTTGGAGAAGTATGATTGACATACTACTGTGGTATTATTAGGCTTATTTCTCATTCGGAATTCAAAAGGAGTAAGAAGGTGATAGTACGTTTTTGAATTGATTATTAAAAGTCGATGAACGTAGTTCAGACTTATATAGGTCGTGATGATTTTTTTCAGGAGAGGTCTTAAAATTTGTTCACGCTCAAATTAGATTCTTCGCAGTTTGGCATTAAGGGCATCTATTGTTTTTCTTTGAAATTCGAGATTTTTTCAAAAAAAAGCAAGCCAGTATTTCTTCCTGTTCACTTGCGTTCATTGAGTCTTTTTCAACTGTCTGTTGGTTGTGTTCTGTTTTTTTTGAATTGTGATTCTGTTTGTCCACATTTAATTTGTGTCATATCATGTAGATTGAGGATCTGAAGCGACGTCTGAGCAACCAGTGCAAGGAGGTCAATGGAGTCCAGAAGGAACTGGGAGTGCTCGAGTCTCGCATGGACCAGAAGAGGTCAGACAGACACTCCCTGCTGGAGACTGCAAGACTAGACGCAATTCATATTCCTCTAATATCTGGTGAGGAAATATGTTTCCATTTTGGCATTTAATCAGGGTGAATTTTTATCTTGTTCGAGCTTTTTTTTGCGAAAAAATTGTAGTTCAAGCAAATTCTCAGTTATTCCATTTTTCCTAATTTTTTAAATTTTATTTATCCACTTGGATAGTTTAAATGGTGTGCGTAAAATGTATGTATATTTTTGGGGACTTGAATTGCTTTCAGGGAGCTTTGACGCACTTGATGAACAAATTCGACAATCTCAGGCTGCCGAAGAGCCAATGGACACTGGCGACAACACCGTGCCACCCGGAATGCGAGGACGATCCACAGCACTGTATGCACAGGAGTCGGAACTAGAAATAGACTACGAACGACTTACTAGAGATCTGAAATCATCAGTATCTTCAGAAGATAAATTCAACAAAGCCTGTGAAAAGTTGCAGAACAACTTAGACAACCTGAATTCCCAATTGGTCACACTCCAACCGAACACAAAAGCCTCAGAGCGAATGGAGGAAGTCACAGAAAAATGGAACGAAACTTCAGAAGAGTTCGAGAATCTGCGAAAGATGGCGAGAAAAGCGCAAATTACATTCGAGAAAATTCAGAAAGAGCGATACGATAAATTCGACAAGTGTTTCAGGCATGTCGCGGACAATATTGACGAAGTTTACAAGGGTTTGTGTCAGAATTCAAGTGCACAGGCTTACTTAGGTGCTGAAAATTCAGAGGAACCGTATTTGGACGGTATAACATTCAACTGCGTAGCGCCTGGGAAAAGGTATAGACCTATGGATAATTTATCCGGAGGAGAGAAAACCATAGCGGCACTGGCTTTGCTTTTCTCGATCCAAAGTTACCAACCAGCCCCATTTTTTGTGCTTGACGAAGTCGACGCAGCTTTGGACAATACAAACATAGGAAAAGTTGTGCAATACATAAAAACTCAAAGTAAAAGCAAGTTCCAGTGTATTGTGATTTCACTGAAAGATGAGTTCTTCAGTAACGCGGAAACGTTAATTGGAGTTTACTCGACCATTGGTGAAACTGGACCTATGAGTCAAGTTCTGACTTTGGACTTGAACCAGTATGATGAGTGATGAAACGAAACTGTTTTAACTGTTATATTAAAGAGTAATGAACGCAGTGAAGACTTATATAGGTCTTGCTCATTTTTTTTTCAGGAAACTTTTAAAGTCTTATAACTACAGATGTGCATTCATACATATTAATGCATTTATGAATGCGCTTAGGTATATATGCACATTTTGAGTTCAATTGAAAGTCTTCTGCTGAAAATAACGTAAATAGCACTTTCCAAAAACGAACGTGGAAGTGGCGCGAAAAAACGTGAACGATTTCTAGTTTCGAAAGTGGAATTTAAATTTAAGATTTCCATCGGAATAAAAATTTTACCCAATGATCCAGTTTTCTCTAGTTGGGTTCATGTTAACAAAAAAGCGCCAATCATAAATTCGAAATTCAAAGAGCTGAAGTGCGTCTATTTTTTTCTTTGAAGTTCGAAAGTTAAGGTTTTTTCAAGAAAGTCAGTATTTTTTTTACTTGCGTTCATTACTCTTTTCCAATCTTTGATTGGCTATGTTTCTGAATTTTTCAGTGAATCAGCCTGATCTAAGATCTTTAACTTTTATAGCAAACTTTATTATTTTGATGCGAGTTTTGTTTTAGTTTTTGTTTCAATGTGTTTCCGATGAATTTTGTATTCGTTTGTTAATAATCGAATTTTCATTTATGTAGTTTTTTTTTCAATTTTGAAGAGGTAATTTATCTCGTTTGTTTTGATGTACTGAACAGGGAAAATGATTCAATTCCAGTTAATGCAAGTTACTGAGTCATGAACGTAGTGAATACGCCTATATAGGTCATGGTATTTTTTTAGGAGAAAGTCTTAAAATGCTCTAATAACTACTGAAGTTCTTTCATACCTTTTAATGATTTTATGAACGCGTTTAGGTATCGATGTACTTTTTGAGTTCAATTCAAGTACATTTGCTAAAGTAGGTAAATTGCGCTCTCAGAATATGAAAGCGGAAATAGCGCAAGAAAAAGCGAGAAGTTCTCAGATTGGGTTAATTGATCAGAAAGAAGTCAATCATGAATTGTTTTTGAAAATCAAAGAGCTTTGAGGTCATACAATTTTTTCTCTGAAACTCGACTTCTTCTTTTCCAAAAAAAAATCAAGTGAGTGTTTTTTTCTTTACATGCGTTCATTGACTCTTCCAACTGTCTGTTGGCTGTGTTAGTTTCTCCAAATCAAAAAAAAATGCTGAAGTCAATGAAATTTAACATTTTCATTGACAATGGTGATAGGCTAAACAAGGCAGTTACGAATATCCTTTTCTGTGGAATAAACTGGAAATTTCAAATCAGAAACTACAATTTGACCTCCGATATAATTTCGCTTGCGGTTGGCTATGTTTAGTTTCTCCAAATAAAAAAAATGCGAAAGTCAATGAAATTTAACACTTTCATTGAATCAACTTAATACAAAGTCTTGTAATAGAAAACGAGATTTTTCACTAAACAATGTTTCTTAAAATCTGCAAAAAAAAATGAGAATAATTGAATCATAGCACCTTGTAGGCTCTATCCTACTTGTCTTAGAGGTAACTCGGTTGCATTTGTATCTAAGGTCTGGTATTCGAGTCCCGGCTGTACCGTGTTTTTCTTTCAGCATGAATATTGAAGAAAAAATCCGAGAATTTGTTAAACTTTTATGTCTGCTCATGTTTTTGCGGCTTAGCTGCCACATAACGGATTTTCTTTAACTGTAAGTAATTTTCATTGTAGCTGCAAGTGTTAGTAGTTCACTCGTTGTAAATTTAATTATCATGATTTCATAGAAAATTTGTTTCGGTTGACAGTTTTTTGATCCTAATTAGTTTTGGTTTATGTTTCATCGGCTTAGTTAAATTATTGTGTCGTTCGTTTTTGTTAAAAAAATTCAGGTAGATTTTGGTTTAGAAGTTCAAAGTTTTGAAACCTAAGCTCTCAAAAAATTTAAGACTACATTTTTCTTATAGTTTTTTTGTTTCCACTCAATGGACGTCTAATGGCCTATTGAGGGCTTAGAGAGCGGTCGGAAAGAGTTAGAGCTTAATTATTTCTAGTAGCAGTGTTTCTTGACTGTTTTTCTAAAATTGAATTTTTTCATTTTTTTCTCAAAACCATTTTGAACATTATTCAGGTCTTAGCTTTTTCAGTCACGTTTTCTATTCCCTAGCTTGCAATGCTATGGTTATGTTGTATCCTAAGTGATGCGAAACTGCATTTTGTGAATCGAACCGAAAACAAATTTTCCGGAAAATTTTTCTCGTTGTTCGAAAAACTTCGAAAGTTTCCGCTTTGTATCAGGGTCTTAATTTGTTATTCAGTAATTTTGCTTTCAATTTTGTTTTGTCGTAGGGTGCATTGAAGTTTTGTTCTATCTCGAGTTTTGTTTCCAAGCGGAGATCCAATTCTGTTCTACAATGAAAACACCGGAAAGGACTTTTTACTATTGAATCCAATTTATCAAGTATTAGGTAAAAGTCTTCCAGTATTTCATTGTAGAATTTGACCTCCGCTTGAAATCTTAACTCGAGATAAGAAAGACCTCAAGTCCACTCTACCACAAAAAGAGTTGAAAGCAAAATAACTGAATAAGAATTTAGCACAATCATATTAATCGCAAAATTCTTTTTTTGAACACCGAGAAAAAATTCCCCGAATATTTCACGGATTTTTCATAGATGATTTTTTACTATTAAATCCATTTTATCAAAATTTAAGTAAAAACCATCTATAACATATAACAGCTAAAATTTTCACTCCAATATGAAAGCTATATATCAAATTAAAACGAGTTCTAAATAGACTCGCCTAAAGTTTCTGGGACAGAGTCTGCTATCTATGTTTTTTGAAATTAGCTTGATCATTTTATTTGTTCACTACTGTTCCATCGTTTTTCGAGTTGCTATTTTATCGCGTGAAATTGGCAACTTTTATGTTACAAGACCTTTGCAATTAATACTGCATCAGTATATGAATGTCAAATCTTTCAAATAACTGATACCTTTTCAATAAGAATTTTTATGAAATACTAAGCAAAATGTCTTGAAATATGTTCAAATTAAAAATTTTTACTTGCACTCTGTGCCAGTTAGGCTTTTTTGCCGTATAAACTTATCTATTCCGTTTTTCTAAATTGAACTGAGTTACGTATGAATATCATGATAGTTTGATGAATTGCTTCAAATATTGTCTACATCGTTGAGAATGTCTTTTTTTCCTGCAAAAAAGCGGAGTGTTTATGCGCAGGGTGGTTTTCAGAGTTTTTGAACGTTGTTAGACTTTTATATAGGTCATGATGATTTTGTTTTTCAAGAAATTTCTTAAAATACCTCAATATTTTACATAAGTTCACTCATAAATATTAAAGCATATATGAATGATTCTTAGTATACGCAAAATTCGAACTCATTTCAATATCACATGCTTAACGTCAGCCAATTTTAAGATTTCCCAGCTAAATAAAAGCTCTAGCAATTGATCCTCTTTTCTCGAAGTTAATTGAAATTTTGTTCTATCTCGAGTTTTGTTTCCAAGCGGAGATCCAATTCTGCTCTACAATGAAAACACCGGAAAGGACTTTTTACTATTGAATCCAGTTTATCAAGTATTAGGTTAAAGTCTTCCAGTATTTCATTGTAGAATTTGACCTCCGCTTGAAATCTTAACTCGAGATAAGAAAGACCTCAAGTCCACTCTACCACAAAAAGAGTTGAAAGCAAAATAACTGAATACGAATTTAGCACAATCATATTAATCGCAAAATTCTTTTTTTGAACACCGAGAAAAAATTCCCCGAATATTTCACGGATTTTTCATAGATGATTTTTTACTATTAAATCCATTTTATCAAAATTTAAGTAAAAAACCATCTATAACATATAACAGCTAAAATTTTCACTCCAATATGAAAGCTATATATCAAATTAAAACGAGTTCTATATAGACTCGCCTAAAGTTTCTGGGACAGAGTCTGCTATCTATGTTTTTTAAAGTTAGCTTCATCATTTTATTTGTTCACTACTGTTCCATCGTTTTTCGAGTTGCTATTTTATCGCGTGAAATTGGCAACTTTTGTGTTACACGGCCTTTGCAATTAATACTGCATCAGTATATAAATATCAAATCGTTCAAATAACGGATACCTTTTCAATAAGAATTTTTATGAAATACTAAGCAAAATGTCTTGAAATATGTTCAAATTAAAATTTTTTACTTGCACTCTGTGCCAGTTAGGCTTTTTTGCCGTATAAACTTATCTATTCCGTTTTTCTAAATTGAACTGAGTTACGTATGAATATCATGATAGTTTGATGAATTGCTTCAAATATTGTCTACATTGTTGAGAATGTCTTTTTTTTCCTGCAAAAAAGCGGAGTGTTTATGCGCAGGGTGGTTTTCAGAGTTTTTGAACGTTGTTAGACTTTTATATAGGTCATGATGATTTTGTTTTTCAAGAAATTTCTTAAAATACCCTAATATTTTACATAAGTTCACTCATAAATATTAAAGCATATATGAATGATTCTTAGTATACGCAAAATTCGAACTCATTTCAATATCATATGCTTAACTTCAGCCAATTTTAAGATTTCCCAGCTAAATAAAAGCTCTAGCGATTGATCGATCCTGTTTTCTCGAAGTTAATAAATTTATAAGGAATCGATGAACATAAATCAGACTTTTATATAGGTTGTACTGATGTTTCGTCCGTTTTTTCGAGAAAATCTTGAAATGTTCAAATATTTTACAGAAGTGCAGTTATACTTATGATTGAAATTATGAATGCTGTTAAATACATAAGCACTATTTGTGTTTTTGAAACACCAATTACATAAGCATCAATTACGAAAAAAAGGCAATAAAAATCTCGACAGACTTAAGTTTCGAAAGTCAAATTTAATGTTCAAATTTTCCAGCGGAATAAAATTTTTACCTTTTGTTCCAGTTTTTTCAATTTGAGTAAATTTCATCAGAGAGTCAATCATTAATTGTTTTTGTAATTCAAAGAAGTTTAAGGCCGTTTGTTTTTTCTTTGAACTTCGTAAATTGGTGTTTTGAAAAACAATTCATTATTTTTTATTTGCGTTCTTTTCTCTTTTCCAATTAACTGTTGGTTTTGTTTTGGAATCCAATAAA